CTCCTTGCTATTTCAAGTTGCCTTCCTTAACCTGAGATGCCCAGCATTTTGGCCAATGCCGCATGTCGGCGGGGCATCGGGTAGGCTGCGGCTCGGCCTGCGCCTCGGCAGTCGTTGCCGCTGCGCAGCTGGATATGGTGGCGCACGTGGCGTGGCCTGTCGTTTGCATGTTTTGCGGTGGCAGCCCATAACCGCACGAATTGTGCATGGCCCTCAGCAATCCGTGTTCGATCGGCAACGCCCGTGCCGCTGCTCTGTGTCTCGTTAGAATAGGCAATGAAAAACGGCGCCCGCTCTCGTCGCATGTGCGCCGGTTGACATATCATGTATGTGGCTCTTTTTATGGATAACAAGGAGTCTCGTTTTCGACTTTTTCTTCTTGTATATGAGCCCGCAGCCCGCGGCTTCCTCGCGCGTTTCGCGCTCCTTAACGGTCTCTCTCTCGCCAGCCCTCAACTGTTCAGTAGAATTTGCTGCAACTGGGCAGATTCATGTGGTATCATGCTGTCCTCATCAGGTGTCTGTGCCGCAGCGTAGGCGAGACTCTAATCTCTATGCCTCGGCACCCCATCGAGGCAGCTCGCGAGGTGAAGCTTGCCAGCAAGGGTATTGTTGCCTACACCAGCAGGCAAGGGAGCACTATGGTGTGAGCCTGCCAGCACTGGTGCGCAAGCCAGATCAGTACAGTCGTACCGGGCAGCAATGAAGCGCGTTGGGTGCCCGCGCCGGATGCAGTGCTAACGCGGCAAGCTTGGGCCGCATCAGCAGATGCGTGAGGCGGTGCGGAAACCGTTGTTTCAAGGCCACCTGGTAGGCTCACTCCTTCCCATCCCAGAGGTAGAGGGCAAGGAAGGTAGTCGATACCCTCGCCACAGATGGACATTTTCATTCAGAGAGAGAGATTTTTAGCAATACCAAACAACTCTAACACTCACACGTAATTTGGGGCCTGGAGCCCTGTTCACGCGCGCGCGAGACGTGCAGACAGGGTTGCCAGGTGAGAGCGAATGGCGCGGTTCACGCCTCGCACGACAGAGAGAGAAATGCGTTGTGTTCATTCAGTGTTATGTGCTACTTTCAGATACGTAGGAGGACTCTGCTGACGGGGTATTTTAAAGCCCAAGAAAGAAAGAAGCAGGATTGTAACGCCCTCCCACGCACATTGTTTTCCGCACTTTCCGCATATTCCGCAACGCGGAATAGTAAACGGCAATTTGGGCAATTGTCGGACTCTCTCCTGTAGCGTC